CACCTATGGAGGGTCAATTAGTTCTTCAAATGTTACCTTTAAGTAAATTTTATTGTTTTATGATATTAATAATGCTAATTTATTGATATTTTTCTAATTTTGATCTATTTTTGCTTCTGTTTAGCGTCGTCATGGTTGTTAGGCGACATGACGTACGTCGGGGTGGAGGGGAGGCTAGACCGTCCAAATTCACAGCCTCTTTTTTTCCAGTCTTCCCGGTCTACCAAGGACCCGGCCCACCTCGACCGGGTAGTCTGGGTCCTCTGGAGGACCCGGCCTGTCGTTTTGGACACAGCCCTTGACATAACTTGACTCAAATGTCCTCACTGTTTTGTAACTTGTGTTGCCAACAGAGTTTATGGACAGCTGATAGGTGCTTTTTACATATCCGTAACTGGTTTGTCCACCTTCTTTAATCAACATTGTCAGCTCCAGTTTCCACACAAGTGTTTGTCTGTTTTGTAGTTTTACGTTACAGTTCAACCTAGAGTTAACTTAGTTACCAGATAAACTATTTAAAAAAGACACCAAATTAGTTTTTAGTACCACTAGAAGGATCCTGAATACCTCTAGTTGTACCGGAGTTCTATCTAACAAGGTTGAGTCAGGTCCTCTGGACGAGTTCTTCTATTTTGAAACATTTCCTCTTTAACCAAAATACCAAAACTCAGCTTTATAAGGGGTACCTTCTCGTGGTTAAGAATAATCTGTCCAGAGAACCTGACTCAACCTTGTTAGACACTAAAAGAATTGCTAAACTAAATTTATGTTTTTAAAATGGAATGACAGAAATGTTTTCTCCCACTGACCAAAACATTCTCAGTAGGTTGCATCCAGGCCCAGGCCTGTCTAAAAGAGCTCTGTGATCTCATTGAGATTTGCCTGGCTACAAATAAATAAATAAATGAGAAGAAACATCTAAATATGTTTTTCGAACAAAATAGTCAATTTAAAAGTCTGACAGTCTGGTGCTCATTGGTCTACCCGATGGATAGCTCTTCACCAGAGCCAAACAACAAATAAATTAATAAATAAATCTGAAGCTCCTATGTTGAATAGTTTTTGAGTTAAAGCATTTTTTATGTC